ACCGAGGTACTGATTATCAATAGTTGCAAACCCAATAAAAAGAAAAATTATAATTCACCTGATAGATGAAGGTATGTCTTGCCCCCCATCCCAGCCTTCCAAAAAGAAAGGGAAAAAAAAGAAACTGGACTCTGATCAAGTTTTTAGATTCAACAACAGCTCTTCTCTGCATTTAATTTTAGGAAATAAAATTCAGAAGAACATGTTAAAATTATACGTACAATGAGATACAATGAGTCAAGTCCATGAACCCATGTTCATCAAGTGGGAGATTAGAGAACACAAAACTTTATTTCTTCAACAAATTACAAAGGTGTGTGTATCTGTGTGGGGGGGATAGGTTCTGTGAATTAAAAACAAACACAGCTCCAGTGAGATATCACTGTACACCTATTAAGATGGCTAGGATCAAAATGACAAGTGTTGGCCAGAAAGTGGAGAAATTGAAGCCCTTGTATATTCCTATCCCTGGTAGGAATACAAAATGGGCAGCTGGTTTGGAAAAGTTTGGCAGTTCTTCAAATGATTAAACAAAGAGTCATCGTATGATCTAGCTATTCCACTTTTAGGTATAGACCCAAGAGAAATAAAAGGCTATGTCCACACAAAAAATTGTAACATGGGGTTGGAGGTGGGAAGGAGGTTCAGGAGGGAAGGGACAAACGTTATGCCTATGACTGTTTCATGTTGATGTGTGGCAGAAACTAACACAATCAGTTCAGTTCAGTTCATTTGCTCAGTTGTGTCCAACTCTTTGCGACCCCATGAACCTCAGCACACCAGGTCGCCCTGTCCATCACCAACTTCCGGAGTTCACCCAAACCCATGTTTATCAAGTCAGTGATGCCATCCAACCATCTCATCCTCTGTCGTCCCCTTCTCCTCCTGCCCTCAATCTTTCCCAGCATCAGGGTCTTTTCCAATGAATCAGCTTTTCACATCAGGTGGCCAAAGTATTGGAGTTTCAGCTTCAAAATCAGTCCTTCCAATGAACACCTAGGACTGATCTCCTTTAGGATGGACTGGTTGGATCTCCTTGCAGTCCAAGGGACTCTCAAGAGTCTTCTCCAACACCACAGTTCAAAAGCATCAATTCTTCGGCACTCAGCTTTCTTTATAGTCCAACTCTCACATCCATACGTGACCACTGGAAAAACCATAGGCTTGACTAGATGGACCTTTGTTGACAAAGTAATGTCTCTGCTTTTTATTGTAAAGCAATTATCCTCCAATTAAAAAATAAATTAAAAAAAAAACTTGTACACAAACGTTCATAGCAGCATTATCCCTATTAGGTAAAAAGTGGAAACCCAAATCGCCATCCACTGCTGAACAGATAAACACAATGTGGTCTATCTATGCAAAGGAATATTACTCAGCAATAAAAAGGAGTGTAGTCCTGACACAGGCTACAACATAGATGAGTCCGGAAAACATGATGCTGAGAGAACAAAGCCAACACAAAGGCCACATACCAAGTGATTCCATTATTAGGAAACATCCAAAATAGGCAAATCCACAGAGAAAGATCAGTGGTTGCCAGGGGGTGGGGGAGGAGAAATGGGGGTGACAGTTAATGGGCACAAGCTTTCTTTCTAGGGTGAGAAAAAAGTTCCACAATTGATTGTAACATTTGTGCTATGACTAAACTTAACTCTTAATATACTAAAAACTGATGAATTACATATTACATGCTTTAAACAGGTGAATTGTATGGTATGTGAATTCTATCTAAAGAAAGTCTACCCCCCTACACACACCAAAAAAAGCACATGGGCTTTAAAAAAAAATCCCCAAAACAAATATTTGGATTCTGCTCAATTAAAAAATGAATGACTCTGAGACAAGTGAAAAGGTGAATCACAGATGATGAATGCCATTGAGGAGTTATTAAACGTTATTAAACGTTATGTTGTGATAAGACTACTGTGCATGTCTTTCTCTCTTAGCCATACATACTGAAATGTTTCTACCTGAACCAAGAAGATGGATAAGATTTGCTTCAAAAGATGGAACCGAGGACAGGGGAAAGTTCGGTGTAGACCAAACAAGATGGGCCAAGAATGATTTATGTTGAAGGGGTGGAGGAGAGGGCTTTACGTGTGTTCATTGTACTATTCTATTTTCACACCTCTATTTTTATGTGGAAAAAACTGCTGTTTTCAGTCACAAGTCACGTCTGATTCTTTGAGACCCCATGGATTGCAGCACGCCAGGCCTCCCTGTCCCTCACAATCTTCGGGAGTTCGCCTAAGTTCATGTTCATTGAATCAGTGATGCCATCCAACCATCTCATTTCTTATATACATTTTTATACATTTAAGTCTATAATTACATTTTAAAAAATCACACAATTTCCATTCTGTTTTTAAGGCAGGTTAGTTTAATTTTATAGAAGAAATACTTTCAAAAGATACAAATGACAATTAGAACAGAGACAAAAATAGAGATGAATACTGATTATAACTTATTCCCACAACAGAAGGTTACATATTTTGGTGGTGACAGTTAAGTTACCAGATGAATGGAAGACCAAATTCCCTTTTATTTGCTGTACTGTTCCTAAAGGACCCTGGTGGCAGACTTTGGATTGTTTCTGGACTAAACTGCTGATAAAACAAGGCAGAGGTTTCTCACCACAAGGCACAGTTATGGACAAACTTAAACATAAGAAAATACCCCTTAAGACGATAGGACTTCACTTTTTAGACATGTGGGATATTTTCCAGGGGCTGGCAGTTTTAACCAGTCAGAAGCTGCAAAATCAAGTCACAAAAGAGAAGCCAGTTAGGGGACATTGCATCCTCCTGCCTCCTCAGCTGGCCTCTATGGCTGTCCACCTGCCCCTTCTGGCCACAGACTGCAGGAAACCCATCACCTCTCCTCCTTCATCTGCCTGGCTTTTCTTTGCTTTCTTACTATGGTCCCATTCAGGTGCAAAAGCAGACAGACTCAGGAGGGAGAGAGGGACACACAGAGAGGTGCAAGCAGTGCTCCTGGAACTGATGTCAAAGCACAGATTGTGTCTGTTTCTAGAGAGGCAAAGCAGGGATTTCTTTTTCATTAAACTCTGGGGTGGGGAAGCACGCCAAACAAAAATCATCAGTCTCGACTGGGCAGTGACATTTATCTGCAAATCCCTGTAGGCTTTCTGTACAGGCACGGTGGGTTTCCCTACCTTGCCACTTTGTAGGGCTTGAAAGTAAAAGCTGCTTCAACCCTTCAACCCACTTAGCACTTCACATGGCAACGTGGCTACAGAGCGCCTAGGCAAGGCGGCTGGGACTGCCCCACTTTTGGGGAGCCATGCACTTGAAATGTACATGATTTGCTTTCCACACACCCCAGAGCCCAGCATCAGCCAATACATCAGTTTCAACAGCTGGGGAAAAAGAGGGCCTGCCACCATCCTGACCCATTCACTAATGCTGTCTCCTGGCATTTTTGGCAGGCACTGATGTTTTATGTGTCTCTACCTCTGTTGTGGGTATGTATACAGGGAAATGAGCAAAGGAAAAAAAAAAGAAAAAAAATCGAGACTAGAGGCAGAGATTCATAGCAATAAGTGGCAAGTGTGAAAAAGCACAAAAGTTTTCAGCTTTACCACCACTGACAACTTCACTGTCCGTGATAGGTCAATGAAATGCTTTTACAAAATTCATTTTTAATAAATGTGAAAATGAAGGCAGATTATACAAAGGAGTGGTTACAGACTAATGAGAAGAGAGATGCTGCTGATTAAGGGGGAAGGGGGGACACTTTCAAGGGAAGGGCAGAAAGACGGCGGTTCGGGGGCGGGGGCATTTTCTCTTACATTTTGTGTGATTCACCTCGTTTACTTCTCCGAGGCCTCATGAAGAAGAGTGCATTCCATAGATAATAAATACATAGTAGGCAAACTATACCATTTGGCATTTTATGAGGACGGTATAGTTATTACGTAAAAAATTTTTTTCCTCGTGAGCTAGTTTAAGATTTCTTAAGAAATATCAGGACAATTCCAGTATGGGGTGGGGGCCATCTGATTGAAAGCAAATGCTCTCCTGTGAGCCACTTGCTGGCTAGATATGGCTCCCACAGAAGCCTGCTTCCTAAAAAAAGCGCCTTGGAAGGTTCTTGTGTCCGTGCTGTGACGGCTCCATCCATCAGCGAATCCACTGACTCACTGAAAACGCACCTTCCTTCTCTTTTCACTTTCCTGCAAGCAGAGCAGAAGCTCCACCACTGCCCTCTTGGTTGGGTCTTGGTCTCGATTGGATAGGGCGGACTAGAAAGGCAGAGGCCGGGGGAGGGCGGGCTGTGTGGCTGCCGCCAGGGGCTCAAGGACAGCCTTCAGATCTGGGGCCACAGGGACACTAGGTGTCCACAGGGCACCAGGCACTGACTTACGATTGAGCCCCTGCGGTGGCACCTGAGCCCTTGCGGTGGCATCTTAAGGGAACACAAAGGGTGCCAAAGTGTACGATATACATGATAAATGCACGGAGGAGGAGAATTCAGCACATAGTGTTTGCATTTCGGGTGTCAGACACAAAACCGGCCCCAAAGTTCCATTCTACCGCATGACAAATACTGAAGAACAAAATTTCAGTCTTAAAATACATCTTAAAGTCAGTATTTTCCTTCAAGGAAAAAAAAGTACTATAAATAAATTACAATACAGTGAATTTGCCTGAACTCACTTCGTTTCTGTCTTCCAGCCTTTAAGTCAAATAAAACAGCGTTAAAAACTGTACACTCTTAACATGATAATTGATCTCTTATAAAATAACCTGTCTTCAGAGATGTCAATTTCACAACAAGGAAAAACCAAGCCCTGTTGCCGTCACTATTATAAAATATATATGTATAGATATATGTGTTTTGTTTTTATTTTTTTTTTTACAAAATGTGTATATTAATAGCTTTGCACAAATATTTTAAAGACAAATTTAGCTAGCCTAAGAACTTCATTAAAATAAAACAGGCAGATAAATACTTCATGTGTACAAAGCATTACATCAAACATCATCGGCAGGCAGAGGAGGTACATTAATCCTTGGTCTTGTAAAAAATGCTATCTTCTCCCTGGGATTGGAAAGAATAACAGGTTAGAGGTTGATGGAAATCCAATAAAATCTGGCAAGAGCATCTGCTATCAATGAGAGCTTTTCTTACTGAGAGAATACATTGAATTTCAATTCCCAGGAGCACATCTGTTTGTATATAGATTCTCTAAATCTTTTTGCACCCCCCCTCCCAATTTTAATAGAGGTTACAAAGCCCCATGAGAACAAGGGTTTTTCTTCAGTGCCTAGAATGGTGCCTGGTATATGGAGATGCTCAGTAAATTTTTTCTTTATGAATAAATGAAAAACTATACAAGTTCTAAATCATAATTGACTACTCTTACATGAAAGGTCCAGAACAGGCAAACCCAGAGGTATAAAGGAGAATGGTGGTGGCCAAGAGCTGATGGGAGGCTGGGATGGGGAATCACTGCTTAATGGGTCAGGGGTTTCCTTCTAGGGTGATGGAAATGCTTTCAAATTGGACAGACTGTGACTGTACTAAATGCCATGGAACTGTTCACTTTAAAGCAGTTAATTTTATGTTATGTGAATTTCACCTCGGTTTTGTAAAAAGCCAAAAACAAAAGAAAATGGATATAACCGGGTAATTTTCCTCACATAAAAAAATAAAAACAGGGAAAGCTAGTCTATGCTATTCAAATTCAAGATAGTGGTTATTCTGGTGTGGGAAATCTGGAAATGCTGATAACATTTGATTGTTGCTGTGTAGTATTCACACAATTCACTGATACATTTCATATGCAGGATATGCAGGCTTCCCTGTATGTCTATTATGATTCAATCAAAAACTAAAAAGGCAAAGGTGATATGCGTATGTATCTATATGTGAATCACTGTGTTGTTTACAACAACAAACATCTGGAAAGCAGCAGGGGATAAACTGGTTAGAAGTAAATTATATCTATTAGATGAGAGATTACTACCAAAAAGGTAACAGATGATGTGGCAACAGGGGTATTTTACTTTAAAAAAGAGCAAACTGCAAACTCCAACATACAGTATGATTACAAGTAGCTGAAAAAAACAGTGCTGGGGGAAAAAAGATCAGAAGAGAACTGCACAATGCTAACAGCAGTGAAGATTCCTGCTTTGTTCTCAATCTCCTGTGGGTCTTTTTCAATACTTAACTTGACTTTTTATAACGACAAAGGGCTGACAGTAAAAAGCCTGCGGGAAAGTGAGGCCAGGCTTCTCCTCACCTGAACGTCTGCACTTGGATGGGCTCTTTGAGGTTCTGCCCACGCAGCTGGCACACCCCCTTAGAGGCCTTCTTCAGCATCTTCTCGGCTGCCTGTTCTTGATGGAAGTCAAGTTTGGTCTGTCTCGTCTGGAACAGCAACCAGCAACGCAGGGTCAACCAGGTTTTGCTTCTCTTGTTAAGGAAGAACGCCGGAAGCCCCCACCAGCTCCGGCGCGGGAGGGGTACCGGGAGGGGGAGAAAGGCCCGCCCGCTGGCCACCCGCCCCCTTCGCCACGCCCCTGGCGCCCGCTCACCTGCCGCTCGGCCTCCCGCAGCAGGCTCCGGAAGCGCTCGTCTCGCAGCAGCCAGGCCGGCAGGTCGGTGTGGCCGCGGAGCTGGGCGTCCTCCAGGCGCTGGCGCAGCTCGCGCAGGGCGCACAGCTCCTCGTTCAGCTGCCGCTGCCGCGTCCGCGACGCCTGGAGGTCCAGCTCCAAGTCTAGGGATGTGCGCGCTGCCAGCGCCACCAGGGAAGACCTGCAGGGCTGCAGTCCAGGGCAGTGAGCACCCCACCCCTCCGCCCCCGCGCCCTGCCAGCAGCTTCTTCCCCTGGCCGATCCCCATCTCCCGTCCCCTACTCCAGAGAAGGGGCCGCTGGAGGGAGATTTCTCAACACAACATCCATGTGGGCGACCAGGGTTCAAACCCATGTCCAAGAACAAGCCAGTGACAGCCAACTGTCCGCTGGAAGGATCACCTTAGGTTTTGGCTCAAGTGCACAGAAATATACCCTCTCACTTGGGGCAGGCGGGGATCATCTTTCTCAAGTGCTATTTGACAATATAAGTGAAAGTTAATGACGTGAGCTTTCTTTCGTTCTGATATTTGATTTTGACTTGCATTTGAAAAGCACAGGTGATGTTGTGCAAAAAGGCTTATGAGAAAAAAAATTCTAAATAGCTAACAAGAGAAAGGGCTTTCCTGGTGGCTCAGACAGTAAAGTATCTGCCTGCAAAAGGGGAGACTCTGGTTTGATCCCTTGGTTGGGAATATCCCCTGGAGAAGGGAATGGCTACCCACTCCAGTATTCTTGCCTGGGAAATTCCATGGAGAGGAGCCTGGAGGGCTATAGTCCATGAGGTTGCAAAGAGGTGATGGCCACTAAGCGACTAACACTTTCACTTAACAAGAGAAAAGTGATCAAATACATTATGAGGCCAGCAGAGAACGGAGCTATTGAAAAAGATGAAACCTATACCAACATGGCAAAATCTTAATGATCTACTGTGTAAGGGAGGAAAAAAGCATGATATAAACCATGTGAGGGCTTTCTGTTTAAACACACAAAGTCAAAAAAAGTTCCTTCCCAGGGAATTCCCAGATGGTCCAGTGGTTAGGGCACCCCCCTCCCTTGGGTTCAATTCCTGCTGTAGAACCTAAGATTGCAAGCCACGTGGTGTGGTCAAACAAACAAACAAAAAAAAATTCCTCCCTGTATAAGCCTGAAGTAATAAGCAAGTCTGCTGTTTTTAAGTTCTAAAATGAGAAAAGAATTTTGTACATGCAGTTGAGAGCAGTACTTCCCACTGCATGGCAAACAACCCTGGGGAAGGCAGTTAGTGCAACAAAATCACAAATCCATGAGCATACCAACGTTCTTCAGAGGACTGATTAACTGTATGTGTTTTACATACTTGTAACACTATTTTACACATATGCAGAAGTTAAATGCAAATATAAGTGACTTGATAAATACAAATTCATGTAAAAACACTGCTGAATTCATAACAGAGTTCTTAACCAGGAGTGACTTAGCCACCCAGGGGACACTTGGCAACATCTGGGGACATTCTTGGTTGTCACAACTTGGGGGGGAGGGATGGTAGCACACGCTACTGGCAACGAGTGGGTCAAGGCCAGAGATGGAGCTTAGCTTCCCACAGTGCACAGGACGCCCCCACAACAAAGAATGATCTAGGCCAAAATGCTAACAGCATTGCTGTTGACAAATATGTTTGTAGCTGAATTATGTATTTTCTTATCATTCTCAGCCATTGGCTACTGTAAACAAAACCATCACAAGGAGATCTGGAAATTTATTTTTCTTTGAAAGAATCCTTCCCCAGGAAAGTAAGGGAACCACTAACTTACAAACTAAAAGTAGCAAAACTTTGTACACTGGTGTGATGTAGGGAAAAAAACTTGGTTATATAAAGGACATGAAAGTAACAGTCTTATGTAGAAGAACGCTCCATGTTGAAAGCCTCAAATTTTCTAAACTGTATATACTTGCTTGTCAAAAAAGAAAAAAAAAATCTGATATAGAATGGCTGATTGTTTATTAATTTACTATATTTTAAAATGTAAAGATCATGTATTATCTTTGATTATGACATTATCTTGGGAAACATAAATATTGGTAACATGCTGACTTTATTATATACAGTTTTAAGAAATTACATCTAAGTAAAGAAGGAAATAAATATATTACCTTTTAAATAATATAGCTAAAAATATTACCTTGTCAGGCTTGTAGAAATAGCTCCCAGGGTACATATAGATTACACATTAGTCTATGTGGGCACATACCTGCTTATAGCGAAGGGTTCGTCTTTCCAGAGTATTTCGCACAAAGGGGGACTTCCGAGGCAGTGTGGAACTGTCACTGTCACTACGATAAAGCTGCATCAAAAAGACTAAGATTCAGAAACACTTCCTTAAGAATTCATATGCATCCTCTGTGTACTCTGAATTGGATTACTCTGTTTCTCCTGCAGGTACTCACACACCCTTAAGGCTTTTAGAGTTTTTACCTGGACTCTGGGTATCACTTAAAAAAAAACCTACACAAGAGTTTCAAGCAAAACAAAGGCAGACCGAATAAGCGGACCAACCCCCACCCCCATTCCTTCCTTGTGTCCATCAGCCAAACCAGCTGAGGTTTCCAGGCTGATCGAGCAACACAGTTTCCATCTTATCAGTGCCAACTGCCACTTGATACGGTGGGATGCTCATGAAAGCCTACGCTGTCCTCAGCATTTTTCACTTTTTTATCAATCGTTCTTGTCTGCTGTGTTTCTAGCTTTGGCAAGAGCTAGAAAGAATGCGTTCCAGGAAAGAGCCCCATTCCTGGCAGGAGGACAAGTGCACACCACTAATGCCCACTCTGCTCACCAAGGGAAAAGGCCCGCTTGTAAAAAGAAAAATAAATAATGCCAACTTCATGGGAGCCAAGACAGCCTGTATTTCATTTGGCTGCGGGTTCTTGTTTTAGGATCGATGTATATCTGCATGAAAGCAAAGTCCTTGCCTTCATGGCCTTATTTTCCACACAGAGTGAGATTTGCTTGGGGCAAGGTGGGGTGATGAGACCAACATCAATTTCCTACCCACCCATGCATGGTGTTCCTTTAGTGGTATCATTTGTGAGAACATATATGTCTTTTAGCATAAATTAGTAAAAAAAAAATAATAAAGGGGACATAAAGAAAACATCTAGGCAGGTGGCAAGGAATCCCAACTTACTCTGCAAACGTACTGGCTTCGTGCTCCAGGCGAGAAAGTCTGAGAACGGACAATGGTGCTGCTCCGAACAAAGGGCGAGCCGCGGGCCCTGCGGCTGGGCCTTTCCTTCCGAAGACTTGCTACCTCTTCAGGGAAGAGATCTTCTGTGTTGGTCTCCTTATCAACCTACATACAATTTATTACCATGACTTTTGCTAGGACATAAGCAATCAACTCCATGTGACCCACTCTTCCGTCCTCCACATGGACTTCTAGGTGGTATTTCACACTTAACACGTCCAGAATTTCTGATATTCCCTTGGCCAAGCATCTCGACTTAACTAGTTTGTCCGAGCAAAAATAGTTTTCGTGTCATTTGGGACTCAGCTCTCTTTCATACACCCTGTATCTGGTCCAAGATCAAGTCCTATTGGCTCTGTGTTCAAGATTAAGCATGTTGTGACCTCTTGTCATTGATCCTCCATCTGGGTCACCATCACGTTCTGCCTGCTCAGTGCAGGGGGCTTCTCACCTGGCTCCCTGATTCCACACCTCCCTCCTCCCTTCAAATGCTTCTCAACACAGTGCCAGAGACATCCTGATAAAATTGAAGTAGGACCCTGTGATTCCACTCCTAGGTGTATACCCTAAAGACCTGAAAACAGGTGTTCAAATACTTGCGCACAAACAGGTTCACAGCAGCCTTATTCAAACAGCTGAAAGGTGGAAGGAGTCCAAACCTCCATGGACGGATGAGTAGATAAACAAAATGCCCTGTACTCACACAAGGGATGAGGAGGGAAGTGCTGACAGACAATGACAGTGTGCTGGGCCTTGAAAACATCAGGCTGAGTGAAAGAAACCAGTCATAAGACACTGTGTACTATATGATGCCATTCATTCATTCATTCATTTTTACTGAAGTATAACTGGCTTACATTGTTATATGAGCTTCAGGTGTTCAAGATAGTGATTCTGTATTTTTATAATTACAAAATGATCATCATGATAAGTCTAGTTACCATCTGCCACCATTAGAGCTGATACAATATTACTGACCATGTGATTTCCTTATTTTATAATCTCCCTTATTTCCCTCATCCCTCCACTTCCCCCCATCCTCCACCCTAGCAACCACCAGTTTATTCTCTGTATCTATGAATCTGTTGCTGTTTTGTTATAGTTGTTCATTTGTTCAGTTTTTTTAGATGCCACATATAAGTGGCCCATAGAAGGGGAAAAAGTGGAAGCAGTGATAGATTTTATATTCTTGGGCTCCAAAATCACTGCAGATGGTGACTGCAGACATGAAATTAAAAGATGCTTGCTCCTTGGAAGAAAAGCTACAACAAACCTAGACAATGTATTGAAAAGCAGAGACATCACTTTGCTGAAAAAGGTCCATATAGTCAAAGCTATGGTTTTTCCAAGTGGTCATGTACACATGTGAGAGCTGGACCATAAAGAAGGCTGAGTGCTGAAGAACTGATGCTTTCAAACTGTGGTGCTGAAGAAGACTCTTGAGAGTCCCTTGGACTGCAAGGAGATCAAACCAGTCAGTTCTAAAGAAAATCAACCCTGAATATTCATTGGAAGGACTGATGCTGAAGCTGAAGCTTCAATACTTTGGCCACCCGATGCAAAGAACTGACTCATTGGAAAAGACCCTGATGCTGGGACAGATTGAAAGCAAAAGGAGAAGAGGACAGCAAAGGATGAGATGGCTGGATGCCTCACTGACTCAATGGACATGTATTCAAGCAAACTCCAGGAGACAGTGAAGAACAGGAGAGCCTGGTGTGCTGCAGTCCATGGGGTTGCAAAGGGTTGGACACAACTTAGTGACTGAACAAGTGAAATCATGCAGTATATGTCTTTCTCTGACTTGCTCCATTTAGCATAATAAAATAATCTCTAGGTCCATTCTGTGCTGTCGCAAATGGCAAGATTCCCTTCTTCTTTACAGCTAGTATTTAATTTCACACACACACACATACCACATTTTCTTTACCCATTTATTGATGGACATTTAGGTTGTTTCTGTATCTTGGTTATTATAAATCATCCTGCAATAAACATTTGGGTGCATGTATCTTTTCTATTAGCATTTTTGTTTTCTTCAGAAAAATATCCAGAAGTGGAACGGCTAGGTGTATGGTAGTTCTATTTTTAATTTTTTGAAGAATCTCCATACTGTTTTCCACAGTGTTGACACCAACTTACATTCCCACCAACAATGCACAAGGGTCCCCCTTTTTTCTGCATCCTCTCCAATGTTTATCTGCTATCTTTTTGATGACAGTCCTTCTGATAGGTACACGATGATATCTCATTGTGGTTCTGATTTATATTTTCCTAATGATTAGTGATGTTGAGCATCTTTTCATATGTCTGTTGGCCATCTGAACGTCTTCTCTGGAAAAGTCTCAATTCAAGTCCTCTGCCCAGTTTTTAATTGGGTTGGTTGTTTTTCAATGTTGAGTTGTCTTGAGTTCTTTATATATTTTGTATATTAACCCCCTGTCAGATATAATGTTTGCAACTATCTTCTCCCATTCAGTAGGCTGTTTTCCTGATAGTCTCGTTCACTGGGCAAAAGTTTTTAGTTTGTTAAAGTCTCATTTGTTTATTGTTGTTTTTATTTATCTTGACTGAGGAGAGAAATCCTAAAATATAATGCATTGCTAAGATTAAAGTCCAAGAGCATACTACCTATGTTTTCCTCTAGGAATTTTATAGTTTCAGACCTTACATTTAAGTCTTTAATCCATTTTAAAATGGAATGAGAAAGTAGTCCAGTTTTCCCATTTACTGAAGAGGCTGTCTTTTCTCCAGTGTATTTCCTTGCTTCCTTCCTCATAGATTAGTTAACCATATAGGCGTGGGTTTATTTCTGGGCTTTCTAATCTGTTCCATTCATCTACGTGTATTTTTTTGTGCAAGTACCATACTGTTTTGCTTTCTATAGCTTTGTAGTATAGCTTGAAATCATAGAACATGGTACCTCTGGTTCTATTCTTCTTTCTCATGGTTTGTAAAAAACATAAAATTTACATTTTTTAATGCACAGCTCAGTAGTATTAAATATACTCATATTGTTATGAAAGAGACCGCCAGAACTTTTTCATCTTCCCAAACTGAACTCTGCCACCATTAAACAACTATTTCCCCATCTCTAGCCCATGGTAACCACCATTCTACTTCCTGTCTCTATGAATTTAATTACTAAATTTAGGAATCTTATGTAAGTGTAATCATACAGTACTCATTCTTTTGTGACTTGCTTATTTCACTCAGCACAATGTCTTCGAGTTTCATTCACATGGTAGCATGTGACGTGACTACCTTCCTTTTTAAAGGTAATATTCCATTGTACATATATGTCACATTTTCCTTATCCATTCATCTGTGGATGGACATGTAGGTTGCTTCCACCTCCTGGCTACTGTGAATAATATTGCTATGAACATGGATGTACATGTATCTCTTGGAGACTTTCTTTCAATTCTTTAGGTTGTACATCCAGAAGTGGAATTGCTGGATCAGATGATAATTCTATCTTTAATTTTCTGAGGAACCTCTACACTATTTTCTATAATGGCTGCACCATTTTACAGTCCTGATCTTTGTAGATACCAATTTACATTTCTAAATGTACCCCTTTCTAAAATGAGAAATCATTCTAAAAATGCAAGCCCTGCTTCCATATTGTTTCATCCTTCAGTAGCCCCTTTGACTACTTCCATTGTTGCTGAGTTGTACTGATTTACCCTGTCTGTTGCCCACAGGGCAGGACTTGTCATTTGTTTCTTTGCTGCTACATCTGCAGTGCCTAGCAGCTACCACGAGCACAGGCTGAGAGAGAATGCAAATGTGGTGAAGAACTAGTGACTGAGGAATCCAGGTGAAGGGGTTACAAGTCTCTATTGTACTATTCTAGCAACTTCTCTAGAGATTCAAAGTGCTTCAAAATGAAAAGTTGCAGGAGGGAGACACACTAAGTAAGCCACTCCCCTGACTTGGACCAATGCTTGTAAAGGTCTGAGAAAGCTGGATGCTGGCAATGACTGGTAGCCATGCCCAGAGCATCTCCTCCTGAGGTGCTGTTCTTAATGTCACAAATGGAAAATAACTACAAGTGTCTAAAACCTTAGGGACCCACGAAATATCTCAAGCCACATGTGACCCTGAAGATGGGAACGGGTCATCCTCAGATGGCTCATGAATGAGTAAAAATCCAGCCTTTTTAGTTTAAAGGAGACAAATGTTTCCATGGTACTTGCTCTTCACAGATGCCAAGGCATTCGCTTGGCTTCCCTCATGCAGGGTACACACTCCCCTCTCCAGGGCAGTGCCTGGTACTGTCAGGCAAAACATTAGGGGATCCATCATACCCCTTGGCCTTTTCTACTTACCTTAAGAGCTGGGGGCTGAAGTTTCTCGGGGCCATAAGTATCTGCCTGGCCAGCAAACGTGTGTCCATGGATAGAGTCAACACCAACGCAGCAGGGCTCTGGGTGCGGGGGGCTGGTCTGGGCGCAGCTGCTACAGCCACTGTCCACCGAGTCTGCCTGCCAACTCCTGCAGGTGGAATGGCAAAAGCCCCCAAAATGTTCATCAAGGACTGAGTTCACTGCTGCACTTAGAGGACTGTAGCAGAGATGCTCGATATTGCTTCTGATGACTGAAGATGGGCACTTTTCTCATAAAGTGAAAGGCACTAGGTTCTCCAGGGAAGAGAGTGAGTGCTATGAGGCCTTTCATCTAGAGGGTCTGTCTGTCTCGCCCAATTGCAGTCGCTGAAGATGCCAGGACCCTGGGACCACCTCTCTGAGTCCTCTTAGCTTCCTGCCCATCCCTGAACCCACCCCTCTGCCATGTACTTTCCCTCCCAAAAAATAAACTCCTTTTGAAAATAAACCCTGAGAAAGCTATTAGGAAGAAGTAGCAAGCTTTGGAAACATGATGCTCTTTATATAAAAACGTGGAAGTAAAGCAACATGAAAGTGCCTCCAGAAAGGCTCTGCCAGAAAGCTATACACTCATGGTGCCGCTCCTCTGAGCGACTCCTCTATTGCAGACACATCTGCCCTAGTCAAGCATTCTCCCACAGGCAGCTCTGGGTAAGACGTAAAGGGGCATCGCATGATTCTATTTACATGAAATGCCCAGAACAAGCAAATCCTTGGAGATGGCATGGAGATGGGCAGTGGCCAGGGGCTGAGAGGGCTGGGTGGACTGCTTATGGGGATGGGGTTTCCTTTTGGCAGGATGAAAATGCTCTAAACTTGCCTGTGGCTTTGGGGGCATAATTGTGTGCCTGTATTAAAATCCACTGAACTGTGCACTTAAAGGGGTGAACTGTATGGTAGGGAAACTGAAATATGAAAGTCAAAGTCGTGGGGGAGGAGCCAAGATGGCGGAGGAATAGGACGGGGAGACCACTTTCTCTCCTACAAATTCATCGAAAGAACATTTGAATGCTGAGCAAATTGCACCAAACAACTTCTGATCGCTAGCAGAGGACATCAGGCGCCCAGAAAAGCAGCCCATTGTCTTCGAAGGGAGGTAGGACAAAATATAAAAGATAAAAAGGGAGTCAAAAGAGCTACGGGCGGAGACCCGTCCCGGGAAGGGAGTCTTAATAGAGGAAGTTTCCAATCACCAGGAAACCCTCGCACTGGCGGGACTGGGGCAAGTTTTCAGCAATCTAACTGGGAGGAAAAATTAAACAAGGCCCACAGATTACGTGCCTAAAAGCAACTCCCAGCAGAAAAGTACCCCAGACGCCCGTACCTGCCAGCAACAAGCGGGGGCGGGACGGAGAGGAGCGGGCGGCATTGCTTAGGGCCCGAACACACTGCCGGCGGTTCGCAAAACAAAGGGACTGAGAAAGTCCAGAGAAGAGCCGGCCCATCCCCGCTGGAGGTTGGAGGCCGGGGGTAGGGGAAAAGGGCAAACTCAGCCCCTGAGAAGCCACCCCCTCCCACACTGCAAACAGGCCCCCGGTTCCTATCTAAAGACTTCCTGAGACCCGACTGGCGGCGCGCGCTGGGGCCGCGGAGGGAAAAAGCGCGCCGTACCCGGGAAGATTGCGCCCAAGCCTCTGGCTGCCTGGGCCGCTCGCCGCGGAGGGAGAGGGCGCGCCACATCCGGGGAGAGTACGCCCAAGCCCCTGGCTGCCTGGGCCCCTCGACGCGGAGGGAAAAGGCGTGCCGCATCCGGGGAGAGTGCGCCCAAGCCTCTGGCTGCCTGAACCGCTCAGGCCGGGGAAGGCACAAAACGCAGGCGCAACCGAATCTGCGTTTTTGTGGAGTACCCGAAAACTGGAACCGCACTCAACGCAGGGCCCGCTCCACATAGAGCAGCCGGGAGCCTGAGCAGTGTAGACGGCGAAAGCACTGACACCGGTGAGCGGGGCAAACCCAGTGTGGCCGGAACACGGTGAGTGCTATCCACACAGAGCGGTATCTGTCTGCAGCGCCCCGCCCTCCCCATAGCAGGACTGAACTGAACTAGAGAACTTAAATAAGAGATCACCTCCACCCACCTGTGTCAGGGCGGAAATTAGACACCAAAGAGACGGCAAACAGAAGCCAAATAAACAAAGGGAACCACTTCAGAAAGGACTGGTGCAACAGATTAAAATCCCTGAAGGTAACACCGACTACACCAGAAGGGGCCTACAGATATCGAGAAGTGTAAGCTGGAAAGAGGAGCTATCTGAAATTGAACTGAACCTACGCTGACTGCAACAACTCCAGAGAAATTCCTAGATATATATATATATTTTTTTTTTAATTAAAAAAAAAATTTTTTTCTATCCTTTTTTTTTTTTTTAAATTTTTTCTCTTTTATTTTCTTTTAAAATTCCCTATTACTCCCCCATTACTCCTCAACTTTCATTTTCATATATTTTTACGATTTTTTTAATTAGGGAAAAAAATTTTTTTTTCTTTTTTTTTTCTTGTTTTTCTCTCCTATTTCCTTTTAAAGTCCTCTAATACTCCTCTATTATTCCTTAATTTTCATTTTCATTTCACTATAACCTTGCCAAAAAAAAAGAGAGAGAGAGGAAAACCCTATTTTTAAATCAAACTTCATATACATTTCTAAATTTTTTTGTGTGTTTTTGTTTTTAAATATTGTATTTCAAAGAGTCTAACCTCTACACTAGATTTTTAATCTTTGTTTTTCAGTAGTATGTGATATAAATTTTGGTCATTTAAGAATCCAATATTCAGTTCCCATTTCTATTCAGGAGTGTGGTGATTACTCTCCCACTTTTGACTCTCTGTTTTCTACCTCGGAACACCTCTATTTCCTCCTTTCCCCTTCTCTTCCCAATCCAACTCTGTGAATCTTTGTGGGTGTCTGGGCTACGGAGAACACTTTGGGAACAGATAACTGCGTAGATCTGTCTCTCTCCTCTTGAGTCCCCTTTTTCTCCTCCTGATCACCTCTATCTCCTTCCTCCCTCTCCTATTCTTCATGTAACTCTGTGAACCTCTCTGGTTGTCTCTCACGGTGGAGAATCTTTTCACCATTAACCTAGAAGTTTTATTATCAGTGCTGTATAGTTAGAGAAGTCTTGAGACTATTGGGAGAACAAAACTGAAATCCAGAGGCAGGAGACTTAAGCCCAAATCTTGAGAAAACCAGAAAACTCCTGACTACACGGAACATTAAGGAATAAGAGACCATCCAAAAGCGTCCATACCTACACCAAAACCAACCACCACCCAAGAGCCAATAAGCCCCAGTACAAGACATACCACGCAAATTCTTTAGCAACGCAGAAACATAGACCTGAGTGTCAACATACAGGCTCTCCAAAGTCACACCTAACACATAGATCCATCGCAAAACTCATTACTGGACACTCCATTGCACTCCAGAGAGAAGAAATCCAATTCCACGCACCAGAACGCTGACACAAGCTTCCCTAACCAGGAAACCTTGACAAACCAATCGTCCAACCCCACCCACTGGGTGAAACCTCCACAATAAAAAGGAACCTCAGACCACAAGAATACAGAAAGCCCACTCCAGACACAGCAATCTAAACAAGATGAAAAGGCAGAGAAATACCCAACAGCTAAAGGAACATGAAAAAAGCCCACCAAGTCAAACAAAAGAGGGGGAAATAGGGAATCTACCTGAAAAAGAATTTAGAATAATGATAATAAAAATGATCCAAAATCTTGAAAACAAAATGGAGTTACAAATAAATAGTCTGGAGATAAAGATTGAGAAGATGCAAGAAATGTTTAATAAGGACCTAGAAGAAATAAAAAAAAGTCAATTAAAAATTAATAATGAAATAAATGAGATCAAAAACACTCTGGAGGGAACCATGAGTAGAATAACAGAGACAGAAGATAGGATAAGTGAGTTAGAAGATAAAATGGTGGAAATAAATGAAGCAGAGAGGAAAAAAGAAAAAAGAATCAAAAGAAATGAGGACAACCTCAGGGACCTCTGGGACAATGTGAAACGCCCCAACATTCGAATCATAGGAGTCCCAGAAGAAGAAGACAAAAAGAAAGGCCATGAGAAGATACTCGAGGAGATAATAGCTGAAAACTTCCCTAAAATGGGGAAGGAAATAGCCACCCAAGTCCAAGAAACCCAGAGAGTCCCAAACAGGATAAACCCAAGGCGAAACACCCCAAGACACATATTAATCAAATTAACAAAGATCAAACACAAAGAACAAATATTAAAAGCAGCAAGGGAGAAACAACAAATAACACACAAAGGGATTCCCATAAGGATAACAGCTGATCTATCAATAGAAACCCTTCAGGCCAGAAGGGAATGGCAGGACATACTTAGAGTAATGAAAGAGAATAACCTACAACCTAGATTACTGTACCCAGCAAGGATCTCATTCAGATATGAAGGAGAACTCAAAAGCTTTACAGACAAGCAAAAGCTGAGAGAATTCAGCACCACCAAACCAGCTCTTCAACAAATATTAAAGGATCTTCTCTAGACAGGAAACACAGAAAGGTGGTATAAACGTGAACCCCAAACAACAAAATAAATGGCAACGGGACCATACCTATCAATAATTACCTTAAATGTAAATGGGTTGAATGCCCCAACCAAAAGACAAAGGCTGGCTGAATGGATAAAAAAGCAAGACCCCTATATATGCTGTCTACAAGAGACCCACCTCAAAACAAGGGACACATACAGACTAAAAGTGAAGGGCTGGAAAAAAATATTCCACGCAAACGGAGACCAAAAGAAAGCAGGAGTCGCAATACTCATATCAGATAAAATAGACTTTCAAATAAAGACTGTGAAAAGAGACAAAGATGGACACTACATAATGATCAAAGGATCAATCCAAGAAGAAGATATAACAATTATAAATATATATGCACCCAACATAGGAGCACCGCAATATGTATGGCAAACGCTAACGAGTATGAAAGAGGAAATTAATAGTAACACAATAATAGTAGGAGACTTTAATACCCCACTCACAACTATGGATAGATCAACTAAACAGAAAATGAACAAGGAAGCACAAACTTTAAAGGACACAATGGACCAGCTAGACCTAATTGACATCTATAGGACGTTTCACCCCAAAACAATCAACTTCACCTTTTTCTCAAGTGCACACGGAACCTTCTCCAGAATAGATCACATCCTGGGCCATAAATCTAGTCTTGGTAAATTCAAAAAGATTGAAATCATTCCAGTCATCTTTTCTGACCACAGTGCAGTAAGATTAGATCTTAATTACAGGAAAAAAATTATTAAAAATTCAAACATATGGAGGCTAAACAACACGCTCCTGAATAACCAACAAATCATAGAAGAAATCAAAAAAGAAATCAAAATATGCATAGAAATGAATGAAAATGAAAACACAACAACCCAAAACCTATGGGACACTGTAAAGGCAGTGCTAAGGGGAAGATTCATAGCATTACAGGCCTACCTCAAGAAACAAGAAAAAAGTCAAATAAATAACCTAACTCTACACCTAAAGCAACTAGAGGAGGAAGAAATGAAGAACCCCAGGGTTAGTAGAAGGAAAGAAATCTTAAAAATCAGGGCAGAAATAAATGCAAAAGAAACTAAAGAGAGCATAGCAAAAATTAACAGAGCTAAAAGCTGGTTTTTTGAAAAAATAAACAAAATTGACAAACCATTAGCAAGACTCATTAAGAAACAAAGGGAGAAGAACCAAATTAACAAAATTAGAAACGAAAATGGAGAGATCACAACAGACAACACCGAAATACAAAGGATCATAAGAGACTACTACCAGCAGCTCTATGCCAATAAAATGGACAACTTGGAAGAAATGGACAAGTTCTTAGAGAAGTATAACTTTCCAAAACTGAACCAGGAAGAAATAGAAGATCTTAACAAACCCATCACAAGCAAGGAAATCGAAACTGTAATCAGAAATCTTCCAGCAAACAAAAGCCCAGGACCAGATGGCTTCACAGCTGAATTCTACCAAAAATTTAGAGAAGAGCTAACACCTATCTTACTCAAACTCTTCCAGAAAATTGCAGAAGAAGGTAAACTTCCAAACTCATTCTATGAGGCCACCATCACCCTAATTCCAAAACCAGACAAAGATGCCACAAAAAAAGAAAACTACAGGCCAATATCACTGATGAACATAGATGCAAAAATCCTTAACAAAATTCTAGCAAACAGAATCCAACAACATATTAAAAAAATCATACATCATGACCAAGTGGGCTTTATCCCAGGAATGCAAGGATTCTTTAATATCCGCAAATCAATCAATGTAATACACCACATTAACAAATTGAAAGATAAAAACCATATGATTATCTCAATAGATGCAGAAAAAGCCTTTGATAAAATTCAACATCCATTTATGATTAAAACTCTCCAGAAAGCAGGAATAGAAGGAACATACCTCAACATAATAAAAGCTATATATGACAAACCCACAGCAAGCATCACCCTCAATGGTGAAAAACTGAAAGCATTTCCCCTGAAATCAGGAACAAGACAAGGGTGCCCACTCTCACCACTACTATTCAACATAGTTTTGGAAGTTTTGGCCACAGCAATCAGAGCAGAAAAAGAAGTAAAAGGAATCCAGATAGAAAAAGAAGTGAAACTCTCGCTGTTTGCAGATGACATGATCCTCTACATAGAAAATCCTAGAGACTCTACCAGAAAATTACTAGAGATAATCAACGAATACAGTAAAGTTGCAGGATATAAAATTAACACACAGAAATCTCTTGCATTCCTATACACTAACAATGAGAAAACAGAAAGAGAAATTAAGGAAACAATACCATTCACCATTGCAACAAAAAGAATAAAATACTTAGGAGTATATCTACCTAAAGAAACAAAAGACCTATACATAGAAAACTATAAAACACTGATGAAAGAAATCAAAGAGGACACAAACAGATGGACAAATATACCGTGTTCATGGATTGGAAGAATCAATATTGTCAAAATGGCTATACTACCCAAAACAATCTACAGATTCAATGCAATCCCTATCAAACTACCAACGGTATTTTTCACAGAACTAGAACGAATAATTTCACAATTTGTATGGAAATACAAAAAACCTCGAATAGCCAAAGTAATCCTGAGAAAGAAGAATGGAACTGGAGGAATCAATCTGCCTGACTTCAGACTATACTACAAAGCCACAGTCATCAAGACAGTATGGTACTGGCACAAAGACAGAAATATAGATCAATGGAACAGAATAGAAAGCCCAGAGATAAATCCACGAACCTATGGTCACCTTATCTTTGACAAAGGAGGCAAGGATATACAATGGAAAAAAAGACAACCTCTTTAACAAGTGGTGCTGGGAAAACTGGTCAACCACCTGTAAAAGAATGAAACTAGAACACTTTCTAACACCATACACAAAAATAAACTCAAGATGGATTAAAGATCTAAATGTAAGACCAGAAACTATAAAACTCCTAGAGGAGAACATAGGCAAAACACTCTCCGACATAAATCACAGCAGGATCCTCTATGACCCACATCCCAGAATTTTAGAAATAAAAGCAAAAATAAACAAATGGGACGTAATGAAACTTAAAAGCTTTTGCACAACAAAGGAAACTATAAGCAAGGTGAAAAGACATCCCTCAGATTGGGAGAAAATAATAGCAAACGAAGCAACAGACAAAGGATTAATCTCAAAAATATACAAGCAACTCCTCCAGCTCAACTCCAGAAAAATAAATGACCCAATCAAAAAATGGGCCAAAGAACTGAAAAGACATTTCTCCAAGGAAGACATACAGATGGCTAACAAACACATGAAAAGATGCTCAACATCACTCATTATCAGAGAAATGCAAATCAAAACCACAATGAGGTACCATTCCACGCCAGTCAGGATGGCTGCTATCCAAAAGTCTACAAGCAATAAATGCTGGAGAGGGTGTGGAGAAAAGGGAACCCTCTTACACTGTTGGTGGGAATGCAAATTAGTACAGCCACTATGGAAAACAGTGTGGAGATTTCTTAAAAAGCTGGAAATAGAACTGCCATATGACCCAGCAATCCCACTTCTGGGCATACACACCGAGGAAACCAGTTCTGAAAGAGACACGTGTACCCCAATGTTCATCGCAGCACTGTTTATAATAGCCAGGACATGGAAGCAACCTAGATGCCCATCAGCAGACGAATGGATGAGGAAGCTGTGGTACATATACACCATGGAATATTACTCAGCCATTAAAAAGAATTCATTTGAATCAGTTCTAATGAGGTGGATGAAACTGGAGCCCATTATACAGAGCGAAGTAAGCCAGAAAGATAAAGACCATTACAGTATACTAACACATATATATGGAATTTAGAAAGATGGTAACGATAACCCTATGTGCAAAACAGAAAAAGAGACTCCTATGTATAGAACAGACTTGTGGACTCTGGGAGAAGGCGAGGGTGGGATGTTTCAAGAGGACAGCATTGAAACACGTATATTATCTAGGGTGAAACAGTTCACCAGCCCAGGTTGGGTGCATGAGACAAGTGCTCGGGCCTGGTGCACTGGGAAGACCCAGAGGGATTGGGTGGAGAGGGAGGTGGGAGGGGGGACCGGGATGGGGAATACATGTAAAAAAAAAAAAAAAAAGATACACTATGGTTGTGATAAAAAAAATAAATAAATAAATTAAAAAAAAAAAAAGAAAGTCAAAGTCGCTTAATCATGTCTGACTCTTTGAGACCCTATGGACTGTAGCCCACCAGGCTCCTCTGTCCATGGGGATTCTTCAAGCAAGAATACTGAATTGGGTAGCCATTTTCTTCTCCAGGGAATCTTCCTGACCTAGGGAATGAACCTGGGTCCCTTGCACTGCTGGCAGATTCTTTACCGTCTGAGCCACCAGGGAAGCCCTGGTAGGGAGTTTGTATCCCAATAAAGCAGTTAATGAAGAAAAAAACCCAAAATTTTAAAGGCCTATTATATCCAATCTGGGCAGAGGGAGCCCTCAACAGTCCCCCCACGTTAAGAAAATTCAGGAACAGGAGGAAAGGTGAAAAGCCTGTGCCTACAGCTGGAGTCAAAGTATGGCCTTCATGAAGACATACATACATACAACCCCCTTGTGAGAATCCCATCTTCTGCGCAAAGGTATCCAAGAGTCGCCCAGCATATTCTACAGAAACTAACACTGTAGCTGCTTCACTCCAGGAAGATGCGCTGCATCTTTCTCAGGGGCTGCCAGCCGCGCTCACCTCTCAGACACGGCCTCAGCCTGCTCCTCTTTGCGCTCCATCTCCAGGATCTCCTCCTCCGTGTACTCCAGCTTCACACGCTCCTCGGCCAGCTCTCTCTCTACTGCCTGCAGTTGCGCTGTGGTTCTCGCCAGTAGCACCGTCACTGCATCCTGCAGGACAAAAGGGATATAGCTGAGAAGCAGCTGAGGCCAGTGGTGTGTAGTGGTCAAATGGAATGCCCGCGGGAGCACCCTCCTGCCCTGGCTGGCTGGCGGCCATCTAGTGGCCATCCCTGGCTGCCCTCCAGTGGGAAGCAGCTCAGCCCTGGTTGACAGCAAGTCAGTAACTTGGCCTTTTTAGGGAGCTCTGAAGATTCAAATTTTAAAGCAACCAATGCATCACTTATGATCAAGAACATGCTGCATTCCAGGACATGGAAGCAACCTAGATGCCCATCAACAGACGAATGGATGAGGAAGCTGTGGTACATATACACCATGGAATATTACTCAGCCATTAAAAAGAATTCATTTGAATCAGTTCTAATGAGGTGGATGAAACTGGAGCCCATTATACAGAGCGAAGTAAGCCAGAAAGATAAAGACCATTACAGTATACTAACACATATATATGGAATTTAGAAAGATGGTAACGATAACCCTATATGCAAAACAGAAAAAGAGACTCCGATGTATAGAACAGACTTGTGGACTCTGGGAGAAGGCGAGGGTGGGATGTTTCAAGAGAATAGCATCGAAACACGTATATTATCTAGGGTGAAACAGATCACCAGCCCAGGTTGGGTGCATGAGACAAGTGCTCGGGCCTGGTGCACTGGGAAGACCCAGAGGGATCGGGTGGAGAGGGAGGTGGGAGGGGGGACCGGGATGGGGAATACATGTAAATCCATGGCTAATTCATTTCAATGTATGACAAAAAACACTGCAATGATGTAAAGTAATTAGCCTCCAACTAATAAAAATAAATGAAAAAAAAAAAAAAACATTATCCTGAATGGCCACATGCATCACTATGTGCTCAGTTGCTCAGTGGGTGAATCAGCAGGGTCTCCTCTGAAACAGACGTGTGTGTGCTAAGTCGCTTCAGTTGTGTCCGACTCTTTGTGACCCCATGGACTGTAGCCTACCAGGCTCCTCTGTCCATGGGATTCTCCAGGCAAGACTACTGGAGTGGGTTGCTATTTCCTTCTCCAGGGGATCTTCCCAACCCAGAGACTGAATCCACGTCTCTTGCATTGCAGACGAATTCTTTACTGCAAAGCCATCGGGGAAGCCCAAGCATCACTACAGTCCATTTTTATTACTTCTCTTGAAACCCCGCTTCTTCATGGCCACTGTGTTCTAAAACTACTATTCCTATCACCCCAAATTCTGTTATTAAAGTGCTAGCCCCTCAGTCATGTACAACTGTTTGCGACTGCATGGACTGGAGAGCCCACCAGACTCCTCTGTCTGTGGGATTCTCCAGGCAAGAATACTGGAGGGGGTTGGCATGCTCTCCTCTAGCAGAGCTTCCTGACCCAGGGATTGAACTCAGGTCTCCTGCATTGCTTGCAGATTCTTTACTGTCTGAACCACCAGGGAAGTCCATATTTACATAGCTGTTTCTTAGAAACAATGTCACCAGGAAGAGCCTGTCTCAAAGCCGGGCCACCTACTGTCTTCCCACAAGCAGCCAGTGTCAGGTCCCGGGCAGCACAGTCTCCTGGCTGCTCCTCTTCCCGCCGGGGTGGCTCGGGGCCAGTGAACACCTGGACTGAGTACCATCGCAGCTGCATCTCGCTTGAATCGTAATCAGTCAGGTTAATCTGAGCAATGCCCTGCAATGTGTTTAAGGGGAAAAAAAAGCACAACAGGTCAATGACTGCATCTTAACAAACGATGAGCATCAAATAAAGTCACCCTTTAATGTTAACCACAAAGGCCACACAATTTTTCACTGCTATTCAAAGGCTGCATGCATGCATGCTACGTCACTTCAGTTGTGTCTGACCCTCTGTGACCCTATGGACTGTAGCCCTCCAGGCTCCTCTGTCCACGGGAGATTTCAGGCAAGAATACTGGAGTAGATGGTCATTTCCTTCTCCAGGGGATCTTTCTGACCCAGGTATTGAACCCATGTTTCTTTAAGTCTCCTGCATTAGCAGGCAGATTCTTTATCACTAGCACCACCAGGGAAGCCTAAAAAGGCTGCAGTGAAATGAAGGTCATCACAAAGGATCTAATGGGGGCAGCTCCTTGCTTGCAGGTTCAGCTCAATCAGAAAGTGCTAGAAAGGGAAGTAGGGCAGAGAATGGACAATGTGAAGTGGTGGGTCAGGCTCAGGGTATGCCACTTGGAAGAGCTGGTGATTCTCACAGGAATTTTTGAAAAAAAGGTTGGTGGAACTCTTCTCTAATTCTGACACTGAGGGAGTGGGACTAAGGGGGAAAATTCCAACCTTGGAAAGAGAGAAGCCTGGTTTCTAAGCCCTGCCCTGGCTGCCTAGGTAAAGATGGATAGCTGACCCACCCGGTTCCAAGACTGCCAGATAAAATAATGTGCATCTGGGTGAACTGTCATTTCAAATAAACAGCAGATTTGTTTAAAAAATATCAATTCTGTCCCAAATATTACACAGGACATACTTATACTAAAAGGGATCCATAGTTTATTTGAAATTCAAATATAACTGACAATCCTATAGTTCTATCTGCCAAGGTTATCAGACCTATTTATTAGTTCCTGTGACTGAAGATGGGGATACTTCAGAAGCGGTTACTCAAACGTTTTACAAGTATTTGTTGAGATAATACACAAGTACAAAACAGTTGACAAGATAAGGGGTTTTATCACTGCTTTTTCTTCTCCCTACGACAGAGATCCTTTGACAGCAGGACAATTTATCAGCGCCCTACCACGGGACTCAGGCAGGCAGGGAGGGAAGAGGAGGAGGAAGGGATGGGCCGTACCAGCAGTTCCTCCTGCAGTTGTGGGTTCACGGAGCACACGTATAACTGAAGAGACTTCAACGTCACCATGCTTGAATGCACAGGGATTCTGAACACTTCATTAAATACCAGGGGGGCTTGCAATTCCAGAGCCTTCGAGCAGTAAGTATTTGGTGTGCTGGAGTCAAGCGGAGGCAGATAGACACGGATGTGTCTGCAACCGAGAGAGGGAGGAAAAAAGCAGATGGAGGCAGCATTTACTGACACAGCTGCATGGGACACTCGTGGACCACAGAAGCGTGCAGATACGCCACCTTGTTTCACTGCCCATATGCAGAGTTTTACTGTCTTTTGGAGAAGATTCTTTTTGTCAACTAAGAGTAAGGCCAAAGAACTTACATGCCCCTGGAGATCAGGGAGAGAAAACCCAGTCACAAAGGGAAGACTTCCAGGTCAGTGGTTAGGACTTGAGAGGGACTCAAATGGACATTTCACTTTCACCATCTTTGTGGGAAAAAATCTGGACAATCTCTCCATGGCCCCTTGGCTCCCTCCCCAAGCTATGCCTGCCGCACCAGGCTGTGCTCCCTGCCCTGTTCACCTCCAGCATGGAAGCCAGCACCCAGGAGATGCTTAAGCATCAGTGGATGCCGCAAACCCTCAGCCACCAAAAACCAGGCTGCTTCCAAGGGCTTTGCGAGGCCATTCTACAAAGATGACTCACGGAAGGGGAGGGCGCCCTCTGGCCTGAACGCCCATCACAGGGGGGGCTCACCCACCTGGGTAAGTGGGACTCCCCCTCCCACCCATCGGGCACCCATCTTCCCGCTATGGAAAACTCAAATTTCCTTCTCCCGGTTCCGGCACCTCATCTGGTCTCAAGAGCTGAGTACGGCTGTGTCACCACTAAGCCTTGTGACCAGGAGGGACATCTTAAGCTCAAAGGCTGCTGATGAAGGGCACACAGCCCTTTCTCATCATGGCCACACATAACCAGGCTGGCTCCCTGAATGCCACCTGCTTCCAATAATAAACCAGCCTCTTCTTAAAACTTACAATCTTTTCTATTTCAGACAGACATGCCCTGGCATTTTATTCTGAATTCAGGTTCTAAAACAGTCTTTTCCCCTGCCCAAACAGTCAAGCAGTACAGGTCAGCCAGCGGTGCAGTGTGGAGGAGGGCCTGGGGGAGCTTACATTCTGCAGTCTTCCTTTACCATCAGCCCAGCAAAGTTCTTCAGTTGGAGCACGTTCACAAGGAGACACTCATTGGCCCTGTCAAGCCTGGAAAATAAAACACGAGTTCGCAGACTGCAAACTCTCTGAGGTGGACAAATCCTTCTGGTGCAACTACTGCAGTGGCCCCCACCCCACTCCCAGGAGACCAGTGCGAAGTCTGGGAACATTTCTTATTGTCACATCAAGTGGAGGGGGGGGGCACTGGATCTTGCTGCCACTGAACACTCCAGAGTGCACAGGATGGCCCCCAACCAAGGACCCAGCGCCAAGGTCATGAGCGCCAACACTGAGAAACACTCGGCTAGGATGACAAGAGTGAGCACAAGAAAGCTGCTGGGATGTAAACATCCTGCCTTGCTCCTCTGAGCACTGCTGGTTATCGTCTTGATAGAAACTGCAACTAGGGGACTTCCCTGGTGGTCCAGTGGCTAAGACTCCATGCTCTCAATGCAGGAGGCCGGAGTTAAATCCCTGGTCAGGGAACTATATTCCACATACTGCAACCAAGAAGTTGCATGCCACACCTAAAGAGCCTGCATACACAACGAAGACCTGTTGTAGTCAAATAAAAATTAAAAAAAAAAAAGAAAGTGTAACTAGAATCTCAAACACTTTGTGTTGCAAAGCACCCATCTCCCTGGGCTCCACAGGGTGACAGTCCCCAGCTCTGACTTGGTGTCGGAGGACAGCAATGGAGCTGCTTACACAGGTCCCTTCATCCCTCCGGGCCTGTGGGCGTAGCACTGAGTTGGTAGGTGGGCCCCAATTTACCCATCATCTTCACGATTCACAGGGAAAGAGTTTTCTGTACTCACAGAAAGCCAACATAGATCTGGGGACCCTCGTTACTGCAAGCATCTCCACGAACAGGCTCGTCAGCATCCTCACTCCTGAACACAATCAGAAAAGGACCCATTACTCCAATAGGACGTGGTTACTGCAGGCTCAGCAGAAACTCCCACTAGGAGTGCTTCTTAGTGAGAGGGGCTTTATTAAGTGGGGACCAGAATAAATGCTCTAAAGTGAATGAAAGGGCATGGCAGGTCCCCAGGATCCATGACGCCATCGCCCAGGGTGCCTGCCGACCAAGTGGTATTTCTGAGAAAATAACTGCATAACTCTGAAGACCACATGTGATGTTTAGGACAAAGTTCAAAAACATGTCCTTTAAAACACTACACAATAAATGAATGTGTACAGATACCCGAGGCAAAATAAATGATATCAAAGGTCTCAAACAAAATAAAGCCCAGAATCGTTCTGCCCTTGCAAAGTGATTCCTTGAGCTGAGGAAAGTGGGAGGGATGGAAAGGCATGGACATCCATTTCAAGTAAATATCTTTTCTAGAAAAAAGCAGGTGTCTCTTGCACACTGATTCTCCTTTTCCAGCTCTACTGGGCTTGTTCCTTTCACTGCCCCCCACCCAGGGCTGGAGAGAGAGCAGTAGTCCTAGAAACAGGGAGCCAGGCCAGTCCCCAGACACCAACTAGGAGCAGAGGGGTTCCCTGGGAATGCTAAGAGCCCCCTCCTGGGTGGAGAGAAAGTAGAAGAGCTGCACCCACAGACACACACAGTGTCAAGCCAGATAGGTATGGGCAGGGCTGTCTTTTGGGAAGTGAGCCCAGGGAGGGGAGAAGGTCAGCTTCTAACCTTTTGTTGGGAGGTTCAAACACACCACTGTCGCTGGCCAGGGAGTAATCAGACCGGCAGGTGGACATGTGGCACGGTCTCTGCTCCAGCCTCTGGGCGCTGTCTTCTCGAAGGGTCACTGCTGTAAGCAAGAGACATGGCAGGGCTCAGGAGGTGACAGTGCAGGAGGCCAGGTCACAGCACAGACAAAGGCACAAAGCAGCAGAGACAGGCCAGCATGCGCACAGATGTGTGCTTAACCACAGTCTGCTCAAGAACCTTCTGATAATGAAAACTGGAAGATACGGGCTTCCAGCTACTTCTTTAAAAGCTCTTTAAATGACCATAAATCTCCTTTCACCTCTTTAATGAGCACACAGGACAGAAGGTGGTGGGAAGGCCCTGGGCATGGTGGCACTCTGAGAGAGTGTAAGGGAGAGAGAGATCACTCAGGCATGAAGGACAGCAAGTTCTCTGAGAGTTGGGAGGGTCAGTGTTTCCTCTTTGATGCTGCCTGGTATTCACACTTCATACAAAAAATGTGGACTACACTGCTTCACGATCGGAAAACAGAATTTAAAATAAAAATCATCAAAATCACCCCTAACAAAACGTAGTGACTTTCAAGTCAGAGGATATACAGATGCAACCCAGACTCGGCCTCTGTCATTGTCTCTGTGGCCCCTTTTTCTCTCTGACTGCAGCATTCTCCTCAGCAGTCCTAGGTACAGACTGGTTTCCAGAAGGTTCTCCTGGGATTAGACAGTCTCGTTACTGAGCAGCTTTACTTTTGTGTCAGACCTACTTTAACCAAGAGCCACTGACATTCTCCCCTTTACCATTTCGTCAAATCCTTCTACTCCTTCCCTCATAGCACCAAGTGCCCTCTGCTGAATGTGACAATGGACACAAGAGCCTCCATGCTTTCGAGAGAGACGCACATGGTTAGAACACAGCCTTAAACCATGAAGCCCCAACTGAGCCTCACTCTGACATCAAAATGCCTCTTATCAATCACACAGGTCCCTCTGGCCTCTCTACTTTTCTTCAGGCATCTAAGCTCTAGAAATTGAAATTTTAGACATCTGCGCATCCCTAAGTTGAGGGAATTTCTCAACAAAATTTGGAATTTCTCAACAAAATTTCTCTCTCATTGTGATGAAGACAGACGAAGAGAGAAAGGAAATGAAAGGCTTAATCCTCGGTGATCATAAGCTTAGTGCATTCCCTCAGTCCACCAATGACCAACTCTCTTTTCAATCAAATTATTAATTCACAGAACAATTAAACCCAAACACATTCAGTGGGGTACAAAACAGATGTGGGTGTCTGTGGCTTTGGTCTCATGATGTTAACTGCAGATAAAAGCTGACCTCCCAAAGGTGTGTAGCACCCATCTTAGGGGCCGCTGGCTCCACCTCACTCAGAGGCAGAAACTGACTCGGTCCCACGGTGGCTGGAGGTACCGACTCACACATCATAGATCATCAATCCCAAGTCCAGCTCTGCTCATCATCCCAGCCCCATGGAAGAAACCAAAGCCCCCAGGTCTGAACTGCAGATGGAAGTCCTCAGGTTGCTGGGTTGAACCCCAGCAAACACAACTGCTCACTACTTCCATTCCCAGTTCTGCCACTTGGCCTTACACATCTTTAAGGAAGCAACACCATGAAACAATCCAGTCAAATTCCAGGCAACCTGGTAACGTGACTCTGACAAAATTTCTCTCTCATTGTGATGAAGATGGACGAAGAGAGAAAGGAAATGAAAGGCTTAATCCTCAGTGATCACAAGCCTAGTGCATTCATGGAGCAACCGGATGCAGGAGTTGACAGAAGAAGGAAGTACGGTCATCCTTTGCCCTGAGTGAGAAAAAAGCACATGGCAGACCCCACACTACAACCCCAACCATCTGCTCTCGGGCTTCAATGATGGGACAGTGGGGAGCAGCCAATGAAGTAAGGAATAAACAATCTTCTTCACATTTATTTTTAAAGCCCCTGAACTTTTCATCATGAAACACAGACTGACAGACACTGAGACCTAAGGACAACAATACCATTTGACAAAAAGTAAGAAAGTATAAGGAAAATCACATTGTGGGCAAAGCTGCCAGTTAACATACTAAAATAATGGAAGCATTAAAGTCTAGGGGGAAATGAAAGGAGGAAAAAAATACTTCAAGCTTTTAAGAAAGTTCTTACACCACTTTCATAGCCAGATGAATACCATTGAAATGACAATAACAAGAGTAACTGTTGAGCTACTTTAAAGGACAGCTACGAGCTATGCCCTTCCTGACCACGCCTTGACCATCCTAAATACATTGATTCACTGAATAAAGATGTGACACAGCCTGACCAGCAAGGCAAAGGCAAGTCCAAAGTGACTTACAGTGAACGTTTCTGTCGAGCCGCATGAAAAAAAGAGATAAAAAAGCAGAAAGTGAAAGCACTGTAGAAGTTAAGCCAACAATTTTAAACAGGATAAAGAATGTAATAAAAACATCAATAAATAGATGAATAAAGTAAAAATATTTATGGATTTATATTAGCAAATACCAGTGGGAATGAAAATAGGAATGGATTTCAAAATCATGACACATCTGACTTTTAAAATTTGGGGAAGATAAAACTGTACTAAACATGTAAAAACTGTTGAAGATGACCATTTATTTTCCTCCTCCCCTGCCCCACCTTCGGTCTCCTCACACTGATTTAAAACCCAATGGGTGATTGTGAATTTTGTGTTACTAAAATTTTATCTTGTTAAAGGTTGCTTGAGTCAAACTTAAACACGTACTCTTATTAGACTGGAGACTACAGGGAACTATGTGACCTCGGGCATCATAAATGAGGGGCGGAGTTAATATAATGAGTATTGAGATCCTCACCAACTTTATGAAGCTGCGATGACTCTAGGCTTGGGCATTCCCAAAGATCAAGGGAGGCCAGGACTCATCCATTGTCCATGCCTCAGGCTGCTTACCCAACCCAGCCCCTCATGGAGCACCCATCAGGACCCATTCATGGAGTCAAATACTTCTAGTTTGTAAGGGGTATTTGTAATTGGAGTGTGTGCTAAATTGCTTCAGTCATGTCTGGCTCTGTGTGACCCTATGGACTGTAGCCTGCCAGGCTCCTCTGTCCATGGGATTCTCCAGGCAAGAATACTGGAGTGGGTTTCCATGCCCTCCTCCAAGGGATCTTCCCGACCCAGGGATCGAACCTGTGTCTCTAATCTCCTGCATTTGCAGGCGGGGTCTTTACCACTAGCACCACCTGTGAAGTGCTTATAATTTAAGTAATTTGTAATCTGAATAATTCTACTCAGAGTGTCATATACGAATACACCACCAGAAGGCAGTATCTGACCACGCCAGAAGCAAAGCCCTTGGTCTAAGAATTGTGAAGCATCATAACATCCATCACAAAGCGGAAAAGAAAAGCAAGTCAGGATCAGAAATTAAGTCAGCTCTTCTCTTTCCCACCCTATCTTTATCCTGGACCAAAGGGGGTGTTTGGCCTTGTGTGGACTTTCTGCATACACAGACTGACACTCAACCTTTAAAGAAACGTTGTTATGGGTGTGTGGGTGGGTCCAACTCTTTGGACACATGCAAACCCCATGGACTGCATTCCATCAGGCTCCTCTTTCCATGGAATTATCCAGGCAAGAATACTGGAGGGGGTTGCCATTTCCTACTCCAGGGGATCTTCCCAACCCAGGGATCACTGTGCCACCGGAAGTGGGCGGGGAACACTGAGAAAAGTAAGCTCAAGCAACAACAGATGCACAACTTAGTCCTTATTTGTATTTTCTTTTTTGAATCACAGGAATAAACATGGAACACTGAACCTGTGATTATAATGAAGAACAAAGTGAATAAAGTTCCTCTGGACATGTGAATTACAGAAATGACGTATATGGGAATATGTAAGGTGTCTTTGCAAACAGAGGGGAAGACACCGAAATAAGAGATGCCAAAAAGCTCCAGGACTGCCTAAGAATATACTACATCTCTGGTTAAACACATAAATGTTACAAGAAACTATTTTATATACATATATATATATATATCCATATATATATATATATCCATATATATATATATCAGTCCTGAATATTCATTGGAAGGACTGATGCTGAAGCTGAAGCTCCAGTACTTTGGCCACCTGATTTGAAGAACTGACTCATCTGAAAAGACCCTGATGCTGGGAAATATTGAAGGTGGGAGGAAAGGGGACAACAGAGGATGAGATAGTTGGATGGCATCACCAACTCAATGGACATGAGTTTGAGCAGGCTCTGGCAGATGGTACTTGACAGGGACAGGGAAGCCTGTCATGCTACAGTCTACAGGGTTGCAAAGAGTCAGACATGACTGAGCGGCTGAACTGAACTGAACTGAATAACTAGCACTGCTGTTGTTTAGTCACTAAGTCGTGTCCAACTCTTTTGTGACCCCACAGACTGCAGTCCGTCAGGCTCCTCTGTCCATGGGATTTCCCAGGCAAGAATACTGGAATGGGTTGCTATTTCCTCCTCCAGGGGATCTTGCCGACCCAGGGATCGAACCCATGTCTCCTGCTTGGAAGGCAGATTGTTTACCGCTGAGCTACCAGGGAAGCCCAACATGGTTATACATAAAGAAGAACTGATGGATAACAGAATGGTGGTGAGTGGAAGAGTCCACAAAGATCACCTCATTTAAGGGCAACAAGAGACTTAGCCCCATTCAAAGATGCACTCGAGGTTACACAGCTAATGAGTCAACAGGACAGGGAACAGGGTTTGGGTCTAAGCTGCTAGTTTGAAGCCATTTCTACTACCTTGGGTTTGTACTCACGTTTTCTCTCTCTCCTTTGCTACTAAACACTTAACAGTATGGGACCAGCATTTCTCAGTCTTGGTACTACAGACACCTTGGCTGGATCATTCTTTGTAGAGGGGACCGTGCTGTGGGCTGAAGGATGTTGAGGAGTGCCGCTGGTCTCCACCCACCAGTAGTACCACCACCACCACCACCACCACCCCCACCACCAGCCCCTCAGCTATGACAACTGAAAATGTCTTAAGACATAGCCAAGTACCTCTAGGGGGCAAAAACACCCCGGTTGAGACCCACTGTGCTCCACAAATTAGCTGCTGTTTGCCTGAATGGAATGTCTGAAAACAGTTTGGCCATGCAAATGGAAGTTAATTAAATGGGCGGCGGTTTTTGATCTTCTCCAAAAATGAAGTGGGTTCAAATCACTGGAGGCTGGCTCACAAAAGCACATGGGGTCAAGAGAGGGAGGGCTGAAGCCCAGGCTCAGCTTTGTGCACCATCCGTCAGCCAGAATACCCTCTGAAACAGCAGACTGGTTTCCCACGCGGGCTACATGTTGACAAGCTGAATTGACAGCAACTAGACAGATGGAATTCTCATGGCTGCGTGTTTCCTGATCTGAACAGCATCAGACCTTGACTTGGTAGCAAGGACTGATGCTCACAGGTATGCCTTTTCACTTCCTCCATGACAGACAGTATAAAAACAAAGAATAAAGAGTGAAGTCATAGGGCCAAAGGAAGGAGAGATTTCCGGGGAGGCTGTAGCCTGACAGCCGCTCCCGTGCTGGTCTGAGGTGGGCACACTCAGAAATGCTCCATCTGGGCACACTCCCTGGGAACTTCACTATGGCCCAAGTACTTCTTTATCAGGCTCCCAATGTGGAGGAGCATGTGGTTCTTATCTTTATTTATAACAACTAACATTCTGAAAACTAGCAAAATACTGGGAAAGACTACTTTGTCAGTTTCCATGACATTTCAAGGATCAGGGACAAGACAAAAGCAAAAGCACGCAGGCAGAGTGGGCGTGCGGGCTTCCTCATCTGTCATCGAGGACCATCCATCGAGGGTCCTTCTAAGCTGAGTGCCCCTAAGGCCACAGCAGAGCAGCTGGCCTCCCTGCACATCGCTTCCTCAATGAGCTTGGACCCTTGCCTCCCGGCCCGGGGCACCCATGGGACTCATTGGTAGGTACCTGCAGCTGTGGGAGCCGTGGCCACTTGGGGTCCTCGCTCATGAGATCCTTCCCCGTCCCCGGGGCACCCATGCGGCGGCAGGGCTGCAGCACCCGGCAGGTCTTCGTCCCCCACAGTGGCGGCCTGAGCCCGCAGCCTGTCCAGGGCGCCCAGGCCTGCCACCTCAAAGCCATCACCGAGCTGGGCCAGGGGCGAGTCTCGCGAGGCCGGGAGGAAGGGCGTGTCCAGGGGCGAGCTGGGAGGGGACAGTGAGGACAGGGAGGACCGCGAGGACAGGGAGGCCAGAGACTGTGGCGTGTCCAGGGAGCGCCTCGGCTTGTGCAGGCCCGGGGGCCCCGCGGTGTCCGCCAGGCCCACATCCCGGCCCAGGGAGTCGAAGGGCACGAGGTCAAAGCGCAGGAGCGGGCCACCCTCGGTGTCAGGCTTGTCGTACTGTGGGAGCCCGTAGATGTCGGTGAAACTGACAGAGCTCAGTGAGCCCCGGCTGGAAGCCAGAGAGCCACGGCTGGAGGCCAGGGAGCCACGGCTGCTCCCCGAGGACACAGTCAGGGTGCTGGCAGAAAGGCTGAAAAGAGAAGAGCAGCCTGGAGCCCATGGCTGGAGCCCGTGTGACCCCACCCGAGGCCAGCCTCTGGGATGCTCCAAGAGCAAAACCCTGCCTCGTGCTCATCAACCCCACCTGTGAGCTGTTTAAGACACCCACTCCCCACCCTTGAGTTTGTGACTATTTCCTTTGTTTCTGTGCATGTCAGTAGAGAACACAGGTTAACATCCAGGACTCTTGCCCGAGTTTAAGTTCCAGCTCAAACTCAAGACTAGCTGAAGGTCTCTTTTGGTCAAGGGCTTTTTGCCCTTTCTGAGCCACCCACTTTCATGGGTGGGGAGTGCTGTGAAGAGAACAGTTCCTGCCTCAAGGCACTCTTAGGAGGGGAACTGAGAAAATAATACACAGAAAGCCCTTAACACAATGCTTTCCAATACAGTTAAGTACTTGAAAACCAGATCTATTACTGAGCATCCACATCTTAAAGGTATTTGTGCCTTAAAGAGATAAAAATGTATGTGTGCATATATGTACATGAATATATACACTTTCTGATGCTGTGAGCTACAAAATCCTTGGGCAAATCTGATTTTAGATTTGTTATTCTGAAGTCCCACTTGGTTCTCCTCAGAGTCCTTGGATCATACATGATATGAGCAGCTCTTCTTTTTTTTTTTTTGTTTTCGAGCAGCTCTTCTTAAAAAATATCACGTATCCACTTTTCTGTCCTGTCTTTACAACCACTTCAGGATCTAAGTTCTGGGAGAGAAAACCAAGGTAAAGGGCATTGTGAAGCTCATGACCACATCATTACAATATGATAATCAAGTTACTCACCTTTGTAACTGGGACTGGAGATAGGACGTTAGGCGGGTGGCTTCTTCCAGCTGCATCAGGAGACAGTTTCTTTTTTCCTGAAGCAGAATCCTATAGGTACAAAAACAGTCCACTGGTGGATTTCAAAGATAGCAAGTATATTTTCCTAACAAGAAATGCAACTATTAGTTCCCCTGAACTGATTGAGGTTTGAATGATTAAATTCTAAAAAGCACATGTAGGTCATAAAAACCAAGATAACAGAGATGTGAGTTGTTTTGCTTGAAAATGTACCACCAGCCCCCTGAACAGCGCCTGATACTCTGGGGAAATGCAGCACATGGGTGGATAGGTGGATGGACGGATGGATGGATGGATTAGTGGATAGATGGGTGGATACAAAGATGGATAAATCAATGGGTGGGTAGCTGCATGGACAGATGGATATGGGGGTGGGAGGATGGAAAGGCTGATAGATGGATGAGTGAACAGGCAGTTTGGATGGACAACAGTAGACAAGAAGATGGGCCTAAAGATGGGAGGATGGGTGTGCGTGGATGAACAGATGGATGGAGACTAGACTAGAAGATGGATACAAATGCCCAGCACGCGGTAATCTACTGGAATTCCTGGGAACAAATCAGTCCCTGTTTTTAAGCCCTCTTCCAGGCAAAACCATATGAAATTCTAACATCTACAGAATTCAAAGATCAAGCACAAAATAAAAAAGCCACTTCCCGAGTGTGGGAGGTAGTTTTCTCTCTACTTTTTCCTATGGGGTGGGTCAGGACGACGACCTGAAAATACAGGGGTGGGGCACCCGGCACCTGCAGCAGGAGCAGGCAGGGTCTAACTCATGGGTTCCCCGGTCTTCTTCCCTCCTCCATCCCCTTCTCGACCATCTCCCACTTGTGAACAGGGACCAGGAGTCTTGGAGCCTTGAGCACAGCTGGCACCCCTGGAGGACGGGCAGGTGCATGCTCCGTCCACCTTCCACCAGGCAATAGCTGCCAGAGGAATCAGTGACCACGTGCAGCCGTGCAATCTGGCTTTGCCAGCCGCTCCTCCAGCGCTACTTGCCCACCTTTCGGTGGCGCCCTGCATGGACGTGGCCCGGGCACGCTGGATCTCCTCCTCCAGGCGCCGCCGCTCCTCCTCCAGTCTCACCACGTCCTCCGCTGGTCGCCTCTGCTGGATGATGAGCTGTAGCTCCTGAAGCAGGGCCTCCTTCTCCTTGACGAGCTGCAGCCGGTCCCTGTCGGCCTCAGCCAGGCCCGGCCACGACTCGCTCTCCAGCTGGGCCAGCTGCTGCTGGATGTTCGAGACTCTGCAGGAGAGGGACATGGGAAGATCCACGAACTTGATGAAACACCCACGTCTTCACACAGTCTCAGCACCGTCACATAGATTCTAGAAACTCACTCTGACCAACAGCGGAATGACTGCACTGAGTTAACCTCACACGGCACAAATAAGGGATCTGGAAGTGAGGTGGAACAAACCCGATGTGGAAGCCCTTTGCATCATCTGCCCTAGCCTATGAGATTAGGGATGACAGAAAGGATGTTTATTGCAGGGCTTTCCAGGTGGCTCAGTGGTAAAGGACCCCCTGCCATTGCGGGAGACCTGGGTTTGATCCCTGGGTTCAGAAGATTCCCTGGAGGAGTGCATGGCAACCCACTCCAGTATTTTTGCCTGGAGAGTTTCATGGACAGAGGAGCCTGGCGGGCTAAAGTCCATGGGGTTGCAGAGTTGGACACAACTGAAGCAACTGAGCAAGCATGCATGTTTGTTTCAAAGAAGACCCCGATTCACCCACATGCCTGGCGTTGCTTCCTATGTCTGCTGTTTTGGAACGAGACAGAGCTGGCTCATTTCTCTCGGCGCCCTCTCCCTCATTAGTAGCTGAACACTGCTAGACGCATGAGAGATGCTTCCAGCCACCTGCCTTCTCTGTGCGCCTAGCTGCGGAGCCCACCTTGAGAAAACCCAGGAGAGAATCACACCCCTCACAGGATCCTTAAGTGTGCCAGAGGCCTCAACCATGAAGGACATTCAAAATGCCTGGCAGAGAGCAGGTACTCAACCAAAGCTAAATGCGTGAAATGGAAAATGAACATGCCAGCAAGTATATGAAAGAATGGGAGTCAAAGTCGCGGTGAGCCTGCATGTGGCGCAGGGTAACCCTCAAGCTGCAGAAATACAGCTCTCGTCACCCTCACCCTGTGCACCCAAATGGCCCGCAGGCCCACTGGGCAGACAGACTAGTCTCCTGAGGTTGTGCTGAAGGCAGAGAAAGTGAAAGAGACGTGGCCTGTGTTTTTAGAGCATCCCTAAAAGCAGGAGCACGATGTTCTAAGCTCTTTATGTTTATATGTGGTTCAAGATGAGGGTGGCTTCTGGGCAGAAAGAAGGATTTGCAGACCTGGAAACAGGTTGGCACATGGGCCCAAAACTAAATCCAATGACTTCTCTGAGGTCACAGAGAGCTGTGAGGGCAGCTAAGTGGCAGGTGCACTCAGTCCTCTAGCCTCAAGACCGTGGTTCTCAAAGCAGGGTCCCTGAGTCAGCCTCAGCATCACCTGGGAGCTTGTTACAAATGCAAACTGCAGGTCCCACCCCAGATCTGCTGAACACCATGCTCTGTGGATGGAGTGGGGCAACCCGGGTTTTGACAAGCCCTCCTAGGTGCTTCTTGCCAAAAGTGTGACACCTGCTGCTTTTCAGGCACCCCAGCCTGGTCTGGAGAATGCAAACTGTCCTCGGAGCTCTTAGGGCTTCCATCAGGCAGGGATAGGATGATCCTCACTAAAATGAGAAAGGCAAGAGTGCTTCTGAGACTGTCCCATTTGGTGCTCAGGACACATGTCATGAATCAAAGCTGGTGTCCTCGCTGGGTCCAGACTTTAGAATCCATCTCAACACTGTGCTTCCTTGCAGATACTGACAGTCAACTGGCATTGGCCCATGTGTTAAGGTCTGTGGGATATCCTTGTACGAGTCTGAGCTGCTCCTGAACTAGACATGAGCATGGGACTAGTCAATCTGACAAAAGGATTGGCCAAGGCGCCTTCAAGTGAAGAAGCTGAACCTCCAACACTTTGGTCACCTGATGCGAAAAGCCAACTCACTGGAAAAGACCCTGCTGCTGGGAAAGATTGAGGGCAAGAGGAGAAGAGGATGACAGACAGAGGGTGAGATGGTTGGATGGGGTCATTGATTCAATGGACGTGAGTTTGAGCAAGCTCCGGGAGATGGTGAAGGACAGGGAAGCCTGGTGTGCTACAGTCCATGGGGTCACAAAGAGTCAGACATGGCTGAGTGACTAAACAACAACCACCACCTTCTTCAAGCACCAAACCAATCAGAAACTCCAGTCATGAAAAGAAGAGTATACAAGTTATAGTTTAAATGCGCACATTTTACTCAAGCCCAGTTCCCCAAAAAGGTAAAGAAAATAGCTGAATGTCAGTAGCTTTATTAGGCAAATTCTTTTCTAACATAAGACCAATTTCCTGCAAATGTGTTGGAAAATGGTGCCAAACCATGTCACTGAAAAAACTAATGACAGATGCAGCTCAACAGGGTTAGGAATCCAACTGGGCTTAAGCATCTACCTCTCTCTAATTAGTGTAATTAAAATTTATGGCAGTCATATAACTGAAGCCCAAGGAAGCACTCCAAGCAGACCCATAAATTAGCACCAAATCAGACATTAGACTCAGCGAAATTTTTGGAACATTCTACTGTAGATCAAGCCAAGTCAAAGGTAAGGAATAAATATAAAAGAGATGTACAAAGAGCAAATCCATTGGGTCCTCATAATTTTTCATTTCAATGTATACAGGAAAACCTATTTGAGCCCAAGTAAAGTTAGCAGTATTACCTGGTCACATATACTAATAATTCTCATATTACAAGCACACATATTTTTAAAAGCACTCCTTTTGAGTTTTCTGAAGTTAACATGTGAGGAGATCAAGGTTCCATTTGCATTGGCCAGCTCCAGGTTAGCCACCACTGCATGGGGATTCAAGTTGCTGAGGGTGGGTGGAGATCCAATCCTAGATAATCCTGCTTTTTCCAGGAAAATCCCAAGTGACTCAGTCATGTCCGACTCTGCGGCCCCATGGACTGTAGCCGGCCAGACTCCTCTGTCCATGGGATTCTCCAGGCAAGAATGCTGGAGTGGGTTGCCATTTCCTTCTCCAGGGGATCTTCCCAACACAGGGATAGAATCCATGTCTCCTGCATTGCAGGCAGATTCTTTACCATCTGAGGCACCAGGAAAGCCCCCAAGTAATATCCACTATCAGAACAAAGAATAAGGGAAAAACTCAATTATGAGAGGAAAACGAGGCAAAGGGCAGATTTCAAAAGGTCAGCCCACTGTGAGTATAAAAGAAATAGTACAGTGGCCAGGATTAAACAGTAACAGAAACTAACTTTCCAGAGCTCACAAGAAAAAGGTGTATGGACGGACATATGGTGAGGGGTGCCTCCTGTAGCAGAAACAATTTGGGTGAAGCTGACTTAATGTAACCCACCTGGGAAGGTTGTTTGGGCTGTACTGAGCACTAGACGAGCACACTGTGCTTAAGAACAGAGGTTTATTGTTTTTTTTTTTAATAATTAAATTTCACAGCACTGCAAATCACTGCAGAGCTCCCTATGAATCTAGAGGAATACTGGCATATATTGTGTGTGTTAGTCACTCAGTTGTGTTTGACTCTTTGCAACCCCATGGACTGTAGCCCAACACGCTCCTCTGTCCATGGAATTCTCCAGGCAAGAACACTGAAGTGGGTTGCCATTCCCTTCTCCAGGGGATATTCCCGAACCACTGCAGGCAGATTCTTTACTGTCTGAGCCACAAGGGAAGCTGACTGGAATAGACTAGAAAGTGTAATTTTCTTTCTCTAGATCCATAATCTGGAGTTAGACATTTGGGGTCTGCTCTTAGCCAGGCTGAGAGAAGCATGTGTGTGTCTGTCTATACCGGGAATCAAGAATGCTAGAATTCCTTCTTGTACATTTCTTGTACAAGTGTTGTCTTGAATATTTGCCATGGAAGAGGCAGGATGGCTTTACCTTTAAAACAATAAGCCTTGTCTACCATGCTGCTGGCCCAGAAAAGAACATCTGCAAGGAGGACCCTTCCTGTATTAGGGTTAATGGATCCAAGAGACCTTCTACCTCAGGCTAAATAACAAATGTATAGTTCTGATGTCCCTTCTATATCCACACCCAGTAGCTGACATGCAGTGTGGAATTGGAACCCCACTTTTGCAAGTACCATCATTCCAATTCCAGAAAATAAAGGGAAAACTGTTTCCAGAAAGGCTGTTTTCTACCATATTTTCTCAGTGGAATGAAATATAAGGAAACAAAGCGAGGTCATGATTAAAATTTGCAAAAAAAAGAAACTTTTCCAAGTCCTTTTTTTTTTTTTTTTTGACTGCACCGTGTGGCTTGTGGGATCTTAATTCCCAAACCAGGGATTGAACATGGGACCACAGCAGTGAGAGCACATAATCCTAACTACTGGACTGCCAGGGAGCTGCCCAAGTTCATTTTCAAAGAGAATCAAGATCAACGTAAAACTGGTGACAGTTTGTTTTTCCCTGAGAGTCAGCTGAGTTTACAGATTTTTATTTTTGATAGGTAATCCCTTTTATAGCCTATATATATCCTCTCACAAATGCCTTTTAAAGGCTTTAAGACACACTTCCCTGTGCACAGAATAGTCAAGAAATGAAAGCAAGTCCTCAGTCAAGCATTCCGGTCTCATGTTTATCATGTGATTTCTAAATTTCACCCCCTGAACAGGCCTAATGTAGACAGAAGTCAAATATGAATCATTTTTCCCTTACTATTTTTGCCCAAACACCTTTTCTGTTACAACCCAGGCACCATTAAACCATGAATGGAAACCTGCATTTATGTGGCAGAAACTGCTCGGACCCTTACGGTTCATGTGGAAATCTTAAATATGATTTTCATTTTTCAAAGAAGAAAATGCGCTTTTAATATTGCACAGTTTTGAGGCATATTTTACATATTCAGAGTAAAGTTCTGGGATCTACGATATAATTTTGCACGTTCCTAAAATACTGCCACTTTCTGGAACAGAAATGGAACTCCAGGCCACCCACAGCCCTGACTCAGGGTGAGGGGACAGGATGGACCCAATGCCAGATTCTAGGACATGATGCCAGGTTAGAGACTCGTGCCTTCAGAAGTCAATTACAGCTATAGACTTATTCTTCTTATGTTTTCTCTCTTTAGTTTTCTTTCTGCAAATATCTATTTAAATGGAAAGCAGAA